CAACCCATGGTGAGAATAGAGACACTAAGGCATATTTGTAGTTATGGGGAGCCAAGGGGTCCTAAGTCCAGTTACAGTGATGGAAATCCAGAACAAAGACCTTAACCCAGGGCTGAACTCAGGTTTTATTAATTCATGAAGAAGGGAGTGGCTTGAGGATGAGTGACTGTGAGAATGGTGGGAATTAGATGAGTGCTGTGAGCTGGGCTGGGTAGGAGGCCTGAAATCACCTCTGCAATGTGCAGAGCGAAGGATCTGCAGAAAGAGTAATCTGCATAACACAGTTAAGGCAGTAAGTGATGTTTTAAGGTCGGTGCTTCAGCTCTGATGTGTGATCTTTTATGCCCTGGGAAGTCAGAGCCTCTTATTTTGAGGCTCAATCCCAGCCAACAGCATGGAGCACGGCTCTCCCTCCCGCTTCGCCCTGGCTCACACATATTTTATTGAGGAGCTACAGGGGGCCAGAGAAACTCTGCCCTGCCATCTTTGTTTGAAAGACTGCACATCAGCACCTCAGCTGGACCTATTTTTCATTGCTTAATGCTAATTGAAGGGATAAGGAAAAGTCCCAGCCAGGTCTGTACATATCAACACATGGAAATAGGGTCAGAATTAGGCTCAGCCAAAATGGAGACAACTGCTCTTCCTTCAAGGAGAGTCGTCAGGTATCCTCCACAGATTTGAAAGCATTTGAAGATGTCAGTTATGGCTAGAATTATAGAGTGAGCAAAACACGTGTGAACTTTCTACATACTATAAGATATGTGGAATGGGAAGAGGTGAGAATTACTGAAGGAGCACCTGCCTGGTATGCACGAGGCCCAGGTGAGACACATAGAAGCATAAATAATTAAGTTAATACATAAATAAATAGAAATTGGTGAAATAAGAAAATTTAATCAGGATCCCTGCTTAACTCATTTATATATACTTCATTGGGAACTCACAAGCTTCCTAATTTTTCTCTGTGGTTTTAATCTATAAAAATTATAATATTCATTTAAAACAAGGAGATTAATTTTATATATATATGTCCATATATATATAGTTTTTGGTTTTTTTTTTTTTTCTCCGGTACCGGGAACCGAACTCACGACCTTGTGCTTGCCAGGCAGGCGCTTTTGCCGCTGAGCTAAATCCCCAGCCCTGTCCATATATATATATATAGATATATCCATGCTATGTAAACTTAAATCTAATACAGTGCTTGTTGCTTATGAATCTAGAGACTTTAAAGGTGAACATTTAAAACATGGACAAGAACATTAAAAGCCATGTTGAGGTTGTATGACTGACTCGACCACCACTCCAGGTCAGCTTATTCTTGCACACAAAACCGCCACTCCGTTCCACACAAGCCCCTCTCTTTGGCTTATTATGGGAAGTTTTGGGGAGAGGACAGCTAAAGAAGTGAGGGCTATTTCCATTAAAATTCATCAGAGTGCACTTTAATTCTGGGATACCTATAAAATCTTCCAAATGGTTTTTAAAATACATGAATGGTCACTTTGGTAGACTAAAGATCAGAGTCGCTTTCTAACATGTACATGCACTGAAGACATTGCACAGTGCACTTGGGAAACCAGGCGGAACTCCCAGGAGCAGCCTCTGGAAGTGACAGGGCAGCTGCGATCACGGCGGAACAACTGTGCTCCCTTCCTGTGGCTCGCTCTGTCTAGGAACTGTCACTGCTTCATCTCGCTCCAGCCTCAGTGGTTGCATGAGTCCTTCTCCCCTCTGAGGCGTCCTAATCTAGCTCTGACTTAAGTGGTTCATAGGGAAGAGGTACTGAAGCTTGTGCTGAACCTCTTCTTCACATTGAGAAAGAAAGCAATGGCACCCTCACAGCACCACTGTGCTCCAGCTGTGTCATTCATCAGAATGTTCCCAGAGATCCTTCATTGTTTCCAAAATGTTGTATAGGGGAAGAGAAAAACAGTTCAGCCCAGTGCACTCTGGGTAAGCAGGCTCAATGACAGCGGGTGTCTCTTATTGATAGTTTTGAATTTTAACTTAAAATTTAATGATTGTATAAATATCTCAGCATTTGGAGAAAAGACAGTCATTCTCAAAGGATGCTGACAGCTAAGACCCTGTGATGATCCAGACCCAGTATTCAGAATTTGCAATTTTTTTTTTTTTTTTTTTTTTTTGAGACAGGGTCTCACTTTGTAGTACAGGCTGGACTTACAGGTATGGACCACCATACAAGGCTCGAACTTGCAGTCCTAAACTAAGAGTTCTACATTTTCCATTTACCTGTGTGGCCCTGGGCAAAATGTTATTTTTTGTACTTTCACCTGGGGGCTAGGGATATAGCTTAGTGGCACAAGGGCCTGCCTAGCAGTTGCAAGATCTTGAGTTCCACTCTTGGTACAACCCCCCCCAAAAAAAACAAAACAAAACAAAACAAAAAAACCCAACTTTAATCTGAATTTCTTGCATCAAGTAAGCATACCCCTGAAGTATGTTAAGAACAAAGCACATAGTTCATTTCTGATGCGTGCCTGAAGTTTTATTCCAAGTTTCATAAGAGGGTGTCTACATGTTACCATCAAGTGGAGAATTCTAGAATGCCACGGTGTAGTTTGATAGTTTCTGATAAATGCGCTGGAAAAATTGCTTTAAAGTGTGCTCCATTTTTTTCCCTGCTTGCACTAACGGTCTTATTATTCACCATTGCCCAGTGCCCACAAGCCATAATGCATTTTTCTAAACAACATTAAAGCTTAGAAGATGGAAGCAATACCAGTGATTTCGAAATTATTTTTCCTCCAGTAACAGCAACATTTCGAGGGAGCCTGTTTTCCATATCAACATCGGTCTGAGATTTAAATGAGCCTGCTGCTCCAATGCAAATAGAAATCATTCACCATAATGCTGGGCATGTGCTGCTGTGGACAGACTGAACACTTGTGGGGGTGCAAGTTTTACTTCTAAGTACCTTGTGTACATGAATACTCCACATCTTCGCATCTCTGTAAAGCTGCACCATGGCATATATAACCCATCCTTTATACATGCATATGTGTGCATGTGCAATCCAATATTTAGCTGCAGCATTAGTGAAAACAAGATACAGCCTTCATTTCTGTGCTGATGCAATGTTCTTTGTAGCAAGAGCACTGTAAGTGTACTTGTGACATAGAAAATATGTAAGTTGTGTCTCAGACCGATGAGTGTCTTAATGCTTCAGATACCAAAGGTCATAAGGGAACTCATGTGCTCACCACAAAGGCCTGGTATCCAGTGACATCTTTTAATTTCTTTCCCTTCAGCAAAAAAGAGGTTCTTATTCTTTCATATAAAAACCTCTCTCTTACCCTCCCTTCTCCCTTATTCTTTCCCATCTTTCTTCCTTGCTACTTTTTTCCCTTCTTAGATTCTCATGACTACAGTTTCTACTACTTCAAGGTATCAATTCAGGGGTAAGAAACCGAATTGTCATTGGTAATGATGTCAGGTAATAGAACAGCTGTCACTTAGCAAGTAGTTAGGGGAAAATACTACCGATCTAATGAAATAAACATCAATAGAATGACTCAACAAGATGTAATGCAATAAAAAAGTAACATGTAACTCTACTATGGTACTAGATATTTAGCTTAGCAGTACCAATGTATTCCACAGATGAAATTTCCCATTTGTCAAAAAAGACAATAGTTAACACAGGAAGACTATTCCATATATTTATGAAACAAATATTGTTCTCTTGGTTTTCAACCTGCTTGCAAGTTTCGGTGGAACAGCGAGAATACAATGTAGTTGATCATCCAATATGTACTGGATACTTACCCCAAGGAAACTGGACAAGATGATGAAAACGAAGCAGCCCACTCCGACTTTATTCTGTCCCAACTACTATGTGCACAATGTTCACCACGCTCATGTGTGTGCTGGGAAAACCACAGCACGGTGGATGGACGGGTGAGATCTCATCTGGGGCGGTGGTTTCTTTGCGTTGTAAAGGGGCTGTTGCCTATTCAGAACCCTCCTGATGTCAGGCAACTGCCTTCCTTCATCAAGTCCCACAGCAACATCTTGGCAAAGGGTTACACACTTATAATAATATATGCCAGGCAATGAGGTTGTTCTCTTGGAACATGGGTAAACACAAGGACAAAGGAAACATCCTTTGGGAATTGCAGGCTGCTCCGGTATGTGCTGAACTGTGGGAGAGGAAAGGGTCCTTTTCCTTGTTTATTGGTACCATCCCCTTCTCGCCTACATTACAGTTTTGCATTTACACTAATCCTGCACTGTTTCTCCTCACTTTGGAAGTTATCTTTTGGGGCTAACCTCCCACATAACCCAACGGCTTTTGTTTCCCATAGTAACTTGCTATTTTCTCTAAACAAAAGCTAAATCACGAGCAAGTGGAAAATGCCAATCACCTTATATAGGAAAAGAACTTTAATCAGTTGCAAAAGGTATGAAGAGAAAGCAAAACGCTGTTTTTGCAAGCGTGCGAATTTCCATCATTCTGCCCAGTGCTTGGAGAGAGTAGCTGCCTGTCATCGCACTCAGAGGGATTTGCATGGTGGCACCTTTCCGTGCACCATTTTCACTGAGAACAGAAATGTCTGTGGGGCACACAGACGGAGTAGGGAGGGAGTGACGGGGACACGGTGTGGTGTGGCCTTTTCCAGCAGAGACAGGTGGAGGAGTGTCTTCCTGGACCCTTGCCTAAGGCCTCCCAGAGAGCCCTTCCCTACACTCACCCTTCGCCCCATCCGCTTCTCTGTGGCTCCGCTGAGGCTCTGATCACCTCTGAAGAGGCTGTGGAGACTCACTCCCACTCGTGTCTCCAGGCAGTGGTTCATTCTAGACAGTCAGTGGGTCTATCCAAAGCTGCTCACTTCTCCACATCTGTCCCCAGAAAAGCTCCATCGTTCCCCAAATTAACATGTGATATTTAACATGCCTATGCTCGTGCATGTGTGGTTCTACTTGTATTTGTAGGGGAAACTTTTCTCAAAAAAAGGAACAAAAACTGGAGATTTTTGCATTTTTTTTTGTATTTGCGCAGACCATTTTAGGATTTTCAGTCTCAACAAAACACTATTGAAACAAAGAATCTAGTAAAATATTTGTGCATGTACTGCTAAACAATTCTAGCAATTTTATTAAGCAATACCTTTATTATTTTTTGAATATTCTTAACAGACTGGAACAAAACATTTTTTATTCAAAACAAAATATGCATACTGTACGCATGTCGCAGGGTTAACTCTGATGCAGGGGAGAAAGTCTGTTTGAACAAAAACAAATGCCTGGGGTAATTTCGTAGCTATAAAGTTAATAACTGAATTTTGTTCGTTAAGAGGACCTTTTCCACGAACTTCCTTCATCCCCCAGCCACACAGCAGACTTTTCTGAAGTGCACTTCCCAGTGTCGACAGAGAAGAGGAAGGAATGTAAATGTTTTTTTAATTATTTGTTTTGTTTGTTTTTTAAAAACAGCCCTTATTAACTCTTCCTTCCACTGATTCTACGTTAAACTCATAAAAGCCTTTTTATAGAAAGCAAATTCATATACACTCAGCAGGTGAAATGTTCTCATAAAGAAAAAAAATACAAAGAGAGCGATCAGACTTCTCTTCACCCGACTTCCTACGGCATTAGTGATAAAGTTTTTGAGCGGTAATAAAAATGGCTGATCTATTTTTTTTTTTTTTTTTTTTTTTTACAAAAAGAAGTTTTTCCTCTGTGATGATGCAGAATTGCATACACTTTAGACCCGGGGTCATTTAAAATCCTGTGTTGGGGGAAAAACTGGGAGAACATTTTTTCTATTCTTTATACTGCTGATGTGTGAGCAGTTCTAGAATCTCCTCTGTGATGCAGGAGCAACCCAAGTGTGGATTTGTGTCTTCAGTCTGTGTGTTCCCGTCACAATAGCCAAAATGTGCTTGTAGGTGACCGCAACAGAACCGAGCTCAGGATGAGCACAGCCTCACCTGGACCTGGGGGGACCACTTACCTGCTCCCACTCTCGCAGGCTGGAGGCTGCTCCTGCGCAGCCGGCCAGCAGGGAAGGACTGGGCTGCACGGGGTGGAGGCCGGAGCAGCGCAGGGCGTGACAGCTTTGCAGACTTGTTCCTTCCTCACTGTTTTCAGCGTGAAAGTGTGTGAATGGGCTGAGGCGCCCTAGGGCGAACTCTCTGCTCAGCTGCAAGGCCCCCCTCCAGGCCCCCGGCTGCGCCCTGTTTGGGCTGCGTGCACACCCGTCCGTGGCTGGACAGACACAAGCAAGCGGATGTCTGTTGAGGGGCGAGAGGGCGCCCGGGGAAGCGTGGGCCGGGGAGGGTGTGGGGACTAGGGAGGGACTGCGGGAATTTTTTTTATTTTTATTTTTTGTTGTTTTCTTTTTTTTGTCTTTTTTTTTTTCTTTTTTATTCTTTTTTTGTCGCTGTTTTTTTGCTATGCCATGAGGTCATAGCGGTCATTCCTCTAATAGAAACGGACAGGACAGAAAGACAGAGCTATCGGATGAACACGCGGTGACTGGAAACAGCGGTGGAGACAGTGAAAGACTTGGTTTACCGCTGAGAAACCATCCCCCGAAATAAACCCTGTGCCAACAAGTGCGGAGAGAAAGGAAACGAACGAAGAAACCCAGACCGGAACGAAAGCAAAGAAAACTTCCAAACATTAAAACACAGTGTATAAAATGGTGTGAGAAATCGAAAGTCACTCAGCAGCGTCGCAGTCCACGGGAAGCTGCGGTGTGAGCGTGTCCTTGTTTGGAATCAGGCCCATCTTTTGGAGCTTTTACCCTTAAAGACCTTGCAGGAAATAACCGGAGGGCAAAAGCGCCCGGCTTCTGTTCCCAGGGACAGCAGGTGCGCTCCTCCGCGGGCCGGCGCCCGCCGCTGGCCCGCTCACTCCTCGTTGGTGGAGTTGTCGTCCAGCGTGGCGATGCCCCGCACGCTCAGGTAGTCGGTGTTCTGCGTGGCCGAGGCTGTGAGCACGGTGTGCAGCAGAATGAGTACGAGGACGCACAGCTTGAGTCTCCCGCTGCACAGTCTCGTGGCGGAGGACACTGTGAGCGACGTCCTGTGACAGCTGTCACTTTTCTGTACCGTCCCTTTGGGCGGGCGGGTGGATCGCTCCTCTCTCCTGATGTCACAGCATTCTGGTTCATCATTGGTTAGGAAGGTTTCATAGAGCCCTGCGGGGGAGAAACAGAAGGTTGAAGGCAGGAAGACGCGGGCAGGGGAGCCCAGCAGAGCCGCGCTTTAAATGAACATCCTCACCCCCGAAATCACGACAGTTAAACTTGATGTCAAGGACAGGCAAGTCAGTACAGTCTGGATCAATGGTCAACCATGGTCTCAAGCCAGAGCAGTTATGTTGTTGCATGTGCTTCTCTACATGCCTGCCAGCTGCACCACCAGCGGTCTGGGTGGTCGTACATACAGCATAAAAGACTTTGTAGGTCAAAATCAGAACTCGTGGTTCTGAGCCAACGTGGACATCAGTAACATCCGCCCATCCATTTTCTTTAATGAGCGCCATTGATCAATGCAGCACATAAGCTAGCACTAACAATGCCATGTGAAATAACCAACCAATCATAATGCTGTAAGTAGCGGGACCGTGTTTACTAATCGTACTTCATCTTGTCTTGTATCCCGTGTCTTAGACAGAGGACCTTTCTTTTTATTTTGTGAGGATTTCACCTGTTCGCCCCTTCATCACGCTATGAATGGCTGTGCGGACGGGAGTCTTTCTGAGCTTCTCTCTGGAGGTTTCAGGGCTCGCACAGCCTCTCCTTCCAATCCACTCCACATTTGCTTTTCACTCTTCAGCCTCCTCTCATTCATTCTCCTGCCTTGTTCCCCCAGCTATACCTCTTTTCCTCCTTTCTCCCTTCTTTCTTTTACAATACACATTGTCCTCATTTTGAAATTGAAAAGTGCATATGTTGAAACATTCAGACGGACAAAAAGCATCAAACAACGTCTTATCTCTCCTCCTTCTGGCCCTGCGCCTTGCTGTGTTACGTACAACCCTCTGACATAGCCGTGAGAGCCATGTGTGTCTTATTCTTTTCATCCTATTGAAACATTTGTTCACGGGTGCTAACATGAATTTTCTCCACAAATTTTGTCATTATAGTCTCATGCTTGAGAAACACGAAGAAGGATAGGTGTAAGGATTTAATGAAATTTTTCTAGCAGGTAGAAACAACCTGAAAAAACAAGGCTATTGTTGATAATAATAGTTATCGAGGGCACTTCATCACCGCCATCCACATCATCAGATCTGAAGACCTTTCCTCTCTCGGGGCCCTGTTTGCATCCCCGTTCTCACCAGAGCACTCGAGTGCCTACGGCAGCGGGCACTTTTCTTTCTTCTAATCTCCACCCTCAGCATCTACCTAGAGCTAAATTCTCCTTCACTGAAGCTCAGATGAGCCTTCCAGGGTGAGGCCTACACTTGAGTCTGCCCATACAACTTGCCTGACTCTGCCACACAGCAGTTAGTTTTGCTTTCTTTCCATCGGAAATTTCACGTCAATTTCCTGGCTTGTGCATCCAGGCAAAAGCATGAGCTGTGTATTTTCAACTCCCTTCCCAGTGCATGGCAGGATGTCTGATCAAACAGAGTTGTAATGAGTACTGAGTACACGGATTAACTGCGCAATCTACTTATTTAATAACAAAGAATCTGTTCAATAATGCACTCTTCAATCTTCCGTTTCTTTTAAAGAAATGACCAAGATATCCTTATAATGATGCTTACAATATTCATTTCTTCTTAGGCATTCAAAGGTAAACTTCACCTTCGCCTAGGAAGAATACGGAAAGAAAAACTGAATTAATGAGGTCTGCAGCGCCCACATTTCTATTGTATGATATTTTCTTTTCATCTCTAAGATACCTCACTAGTAGACTACTCACTTACTGAAGTCTATGTTTTCCAATACTATATTTTACAATGAAATGCATTTATACTAAGATTATAAAAATAGGAATCTATAGGTCACTTATATCAACACTTTACAATGTTAACAGACAGAATATCTCAAAAAATGTCTACCTACGATGTCCTTCCGAAGTTTTCAGAAGCTGGCTTGTTCACTTACAGTCATTCCAGAAGGAATGAGATTAACACTGCCAGTAAGTGAATCTTTCTTTTTACTAGAACAGTTGGTATTTCTTTTTTTTCCTTTCCCCTTCTGCATCTTTTAAACAAAAATTTCTATTCAGAGTTTTACATGCACACATATTAAAGTTTAGATAAGTTCACAGGGCTTTTTACAAATAAAGAAAAAAATTGCTCTCCCTCATTTCAAGAGTTTTCCTCTGGAAGACAAGCATTTTCTTCCCTTTCTGTCCCAACTCTGAAAGCAGCAAGTTTTATATATTTGCCTAGATACGTTTTCCCTGACAGCATCATCCATGGGCCTCCCTCTGGGCAAGGCGGAGATAAAACATCGTTCTCTCCTCTGCAGCGAATAGACTTTCTTCTCTCCAAGCACCTCCCACCCCTCCACGCAGACCAGATCCAAGACTCTGGTCGCCCTGTGTCAGGAGGGAAGAAAGAAGATTCTCAGTCTTGCTGGGTAGTAAACCCTGGTTTTCTGCTCCTCTCTGCATACTTACTGGTTCAGTCTTACTGTGCAGGAGGCTGTGGGGTTTCAGGGTGCACTGCCTGCTTGCCCTCCAGGGGCCTGTGGGGTCCCCACCTGCCACCCCTGACCACTGTGAGGGCTGCCTCAAAACTGCTGCTCTCTCTCTGCAGCAGAGCCACGCAGGGAACTGTTCACACCTTCTTCAAGAGATTATTAAAAATTAAATGTATTTTTAAGCATACATAAAATCAAAACATGCAGTATATATTATAGGTCCCAGGTGATGTGTCAATGTGCTTCAATTATGCATTGTATGGTTTTAAAACCTGCTGAAATACATCTACATCCTCAAACATTTATCATTTCTCTATGGCAAAATAAATTCAGTCTTTAATCGTCCAGTGCATTATTGTTTTGTTCAGATTCCACTTATGAGTGAGACCACGTGACATTTATCTTTCCATGGTTGGCTTATTTCACTAAAAATAATCATCTCCAGTTCCATCTACATCGTCATGATTTATTCTCCTTCAAGGCTGAGTGATATTCCATCCTGTCTAGGAATATTGTTCCTAGGAACACTTTGGTTGTTTTTATTTCCTGGCTGCTGTGAATTGCACATTAAGGACCACGGGAGTCATGTCTCTCCACATACCAATTTCATCTTTGGATATATACACAGCAGTGGCGTTGCTGGGTCATACAATATTTCTGCTTTTGAAATGTTTTCATGACTATGCTAATCTACATTCACCCAGCAGTGCTGAAAGGTACGCTCTCTGTTTATTGTCACATGTACTATACCTCTTCATGGTAGTAGCCATTCTAGCCAGAGAGAGCTGGCATCGCAAGGCGGCTTTGTTTTGCATTTCTTTTTTTAGTCAATTACATTTTTGTTAGTCTGTGTTTGCAGTACACAATGATTACAGTTGTTGTGGGGTCAGTACAGGTGCTCAATACCTTTTAGCTCTTTTTGTTCCCTGCTCCTCTCCTCCATGTGACTCTTCACCCCTTCCCACTCAGAGAAGCACTTTTTTAGACCTCAGTTCTAACTGTGTCCTCTTTTCTAGGCTTTATTGCTTATATGACTGTAACCCATGTTATAGTTTGCACTTTAGTTTCAATAGGATTTAGAGACAAACAGGAAGTCAAGTTTTGGCTTCAGCCTGCCGGATTGAAGCAGGAGTCATGTCTGTGCTTACGTGGGATGCTTTACTCAATGCCAAGAGGATATTTTACTGCCATCATGCAAATCTTAATGCTACAGAAAGTTATTTTAGAAATTGATATTATTATCTTTTAATTGCAATAATAGTGACTTCACATGAATATAATTGAGGACTTACTTAAAAATATCTCACCAAACTTAAAAAAAATCCCAACTACACCAATGTTCAAATTGTGGTCATTTTTACCACCACAAATTAAAAAATAATGAAGTAATCTGTGGGAAATTTGCTGACTTTTGAAGATTGTTTTACAAATGGCCAGATAAAACTATAAAATGAGAGTTCCAAGTAACGTAGAAAAAATTTCAAATTATAGTGATCATCTGCCAAAAGTGTCAGACTTTTGAGTGCAAACATTTACATGTTTATCATTTTTATCTAATCTTTTCAGCTGAGGGCAAATTTTAGTAATGAAGTTTAACATTGGAAGGTTTGTGGTTGTTTAAGGCAGCGAGGGCTGGTGCATCAGATCTATAATGACAGACAAAGGCTTGCGTGGTCAGGGGTACTTAGTATTAGCAGAATTATGTTATTTTTCTCCTAGTTGGTGTTGTTGTGAGTAAAGTTTCCTCTTCTTCCTCTCACTTGTATTCTGAATACCTAGCAGCACATTTGTCTACAACAGAAAAATAAGTACTTTGTTATGAGGAAAGGAAGCCAGGAACGATGCCCTTTGTTAGCAGGGCGGAGGTGACGGGTGAAGGTTCAGGCCCAGCACCTCCACGCTGCCTAAGAGTGAATGCCACACAGATGCTGTGGGCCTTGGGAACCTGCAGCTCCACATCCTGGATCCAACCAACCGTGGACTGAAAATATTTGAAAAAAATGCATCCGTGCTGGAAATGTACAGCCGTTTTCCCTCATCGTCATTCCCTAGCCAACCCTGTATGGCAGATTTGCACAGCATTATTGCCATTGCATGCGCTGTCACAGCAGGCTAGGATGTCTTAACGTGTGTGCAGGGGAGTGAGCACCATGCATGCAGATACTGAGCCGTTTTGTGTGAGCGACGTGAGCACCACAGATGCTGCCTGCCTGGGCTCTGGCTCCGCCCTCCACACTGACCGTGGGCTGGCAAAGCATGGGTCTTCTGGAAAAGGGGCCCAGACTCTCAGCAGGGCCATGATGCAAAGGCCGCTCAAGACTGACCTGACTGCACGGTGGATGGGATATAGCCTGCAGGGAATAAACTGGAAACTGATCCTAAGTGATACTCAAATCAAAGACTAGCAGGGAAACGTCAGGGGAAGCATTACACAAAGCGTTTACCCATTCAGTGAGACCACAAGCCAAGTTTAGGGATACATTGGGCATCTGGAGGGTCTTGAAGCTAAGCAGAGAATTTCCAGCTGTTTCCTAGGAACACAGACTGTCTGCCTCCGGAGAGAGCACAGTCTAAACAGAAACTTAATGCAGGCTGGGAAGTGTCACATTTCACACAGTTGTTTTCCCCAAAATGGCTATACCGATTTTCTTTTTTAATTATGAAAAATGTATTCTGAGAGTATGGATAGAAACACATTAATGGACACAGAGAATGTAGGCTCGCTGCACATTCATTTAATTTTCCACCTGGCCCCTAAGGGATCTCCTGAGGTTTGCTCTGATGATCAGGGCACTTTCGGGGGCCATAGGCCAAGGAGCCCCACAGATAGGGAGGGGAGAGCCCAGCGCAGACGGCTTGCGTCTGCCCCGCATGCAAGCGCAGGGCAGTGGGACCTGTCGCTCACGATGACTCTGGTTCCTCTCTTACAAAACATTTTTTCTTTCAGGGCACTTTGCTCTCACCAAGGGGAAGGGCGTTCAAGGAGTTTCGTGAAGTAGGTCGGCGATATCAGCATAGCTGAAGTGTTCCAGGGGAATCTATGTTTCAGGAGGATGTGCGACAATCGGCTATTTGTGTGACCTCACCTGCAGCGCCGCGGGCCTCGGCCCCAGCGCAGTCCCACCATCACCCAGAAAGCCCCATAAAGAAAACCATGCTCCTTGTCAGAACATCGCCTATTGTGTTCTATTGCTTCTTATTTTTGTTATTTTCATCTGGCACTGTGGGGAATCCCACATTGTAAATCACCATTACTGTTTTGTACATTGCTCACCATCTTTTTAAAGCTGGAAATCCCCAGTAACGAGGACTCTGCAAAGGAAACGTTCTGGAGAACGGGAAGCTGTAAGAATAGTTCTGTGGCTGCAGAATCTCATCCAGGCATTGTAATGGAAGAGACAGTATGGCTAATGCTTTCGTCCGCCAGTGTATGTAGAGCACAACATTTCCTGCTTTGCCTTTTAAAAGAAAACCAGACCTTTTCTGTTGGTCACAGAATACATAAAAGAAAAACTTCCCAGTACCTGAGCACTCAAACTTACACCAACACAAAGCAGTGATTTAGGGTCTGTGAACACCTGGTAAATAGACTCTGGCTCCAGAACTATGCCTTATTCTCAATGAATTAGGGGGAAATTATTTTCTGAATTTGATTTGCCAGTTTTGGCAACGTCAACTGTTAAAGTTGTGATTTTAATCAAAATGCTCTTACTCAAAACAAATGCTTCAGTATATCCTGACTCTAAAATGTGCAGGGATCATTTAAAGGTAATAGACTAAAACTCTTTCCAGACCAGCTAAGAAGATCAGTTTGGATGTTTTAGAGACTGTATTTCAGGCTGGACGTGTAGCTCGTGTTACAGGGCTTGTCTAGCATGTTCAAGGCCCCAGCTTTGATCCCTAGCACTTAAAAAAGTCAATACTGAAGTTATCAAAAACTTGAATAGAATAATGAGCCATGTTTGCTGTTTAGATTTGGGTTGAGTTGACTTCCAGTGGAAACAGGATTTGAAGTAGGACATTCACATGTGGGAGCGACCTGTTTAAGAAGAAATCACCACTTTGGAGGCACTGACAGCAGACAGGGAAGGAGGCCTCGAGGGGTGGATGTGGATTCACAGGAGAGGGGGCAACTCAGAACTGCACACTTCCCTTGAAGAGGAAATTGCCACCTTACAATCACACCCTTTCACGGAATGACAGGAGTCGTCACTGAGTTCAGGTTCCAGCAGGTGGCTTCCAAACAGAAGGTGTCAGGCAGCATGTTAATTTTCACCTCCCGGTTTTAGTGCCGCACGTAGAGATCCAGTCACGTGTGCTGCAGCCCAGGACCCTGGGCTCATTTTCTCTGTTTTGCCTCCCAATGGCTGCACTCTGGACAATTAGTTTTTCAAAACCACAAGGCTCTATAAAGTTTGAGCACATTACAGAGAACTGTGAAAATGCTAGGTCAGGAAAGACTAAATGGAAAGTGGTAGAGGTATAATACTAGGAAATTGTGTTTTTAGAAACAATAGAATTTAACATTCAGTTACAACTTCTAGCCAGAGATATGGATATACAGTATTCTTTAAAATGAGAGAGAGAGAGAGAGAGAGAGAGAGAGAGAGAGACGGAAAAAAGGAAGGGAGGAAGGGAGGGAGGGGGAGGGAGAAAGCCTTACACACTGAATGAAGAATTAGACATGAAGAAACTATGTAGAAGACAATGAAAAGACCATCTAAAAAGTTGAAAACTAACATTAAAGAACTGTAACAATAATGGTGTGAAAATGTTACCTAAAACAAGAGAATCATAACTGTAAGACTCCATACTGTACAGGAGTAAGGAAAAGAGCAGTATAGCATGCTGCCAGTGAGAACTCATGGAGCGATAGAGCTTCTGAGATTTTGGCGATAAACATTAAAAAGCTTAAGCTCTTTCGTGTGTTTTGACCTTTGTCTTCCAATTGAAGGAGTATGCTTTAAGGAATAAAGGGAAAGTGTGCAGAAACAGTTACATACATACATTAATCATAGCACTTTTATGCAGCAAAATATGAAAATGAAAAAGCTTACATTGAATGAAACACATAATTTCCATTACACTCATTCACTCTACTGGTACAGTAGCCATTCAGCTCCATTCCAGTGAGAATGAGGGTATGTAGGAATTAATTCAGGTAGGAATGACAGTGTGTAGGATTAGAGTATGTAGGAAGTAGAATATGTAGGGATTAGAGTGGGTAGGATTAGAGTAGGTAGGGATTAGAGTATGTAGGAGTTAAAGTATGTAGATTCAGAGAAGTAGGATTGGTGTACGAAGGATTAGAGTATGTAGGAGTGGAGTATGTAGGAATTACAGTATGTAGGATTAGAGGATGTAGGATTAGAGGATGTAGGATTAGGGTATGTAGGAACTGTGGTATGTAGGAAGTACAGTATGCTATGGGAGGGTATTGAGTAATCTGAAACCCTATTCATGACATACTTTCCTCTTGATACCTGATTATGGTTTTCCTTATCTTCTTTCTGCCACTCTGGCATTTCTAAGAGTGTTCATATGTCCAGTTCAAGCATAACAACAAAGATGACTTCACAGGAAGGACTCTGTGGCTTTTTAGTGTCTATGACCAGAATATTATGGTCAGATCTGCAGACAGGCCCGTTTTCTCCACCTGGAGGGGCAACCCAGGACCCCTCAGCAGGGTGTGTGCTGCTGGGCGGCTTTGCACTTCCTTACCATTAACAGCAAGAGCGTGAGGCCCTCATGGGCTTCCTTCAGCTCCAGCTAGAGGAGGAAGCTTGCCTGGTCCCGTTAGTGACACATGCGTGTGCCAACATCAGCTCCTGTTCTAGGAGAAGCGCGGGGCTCAGCTGTGTGGAACAGCCCCCTTGTCAGACTGCTGATCTAACCCTCCCTCAGGCAGGAGCAACCTGTCCCTCAGGCCAGCAGGAATTCAGGACGGGGCACCTGTTTGCCCTCGGGAGTGAGGCATCCCTTCTAGCTGCCGTTACTAGATATAGCTGTTAACACCTATATCTGCTGCTAAAAAAGCTAAAGTAGGGAAAGGGTATTATCTCTGAACCAGAGTTATGATGTGCAATCAAAAAATATGGTCAAAATTTTGACCTCCCCACCTTCTCAACATGTAACATAGCAAAGCCCAAGGCGGGCATTGATTCACTTGCTTCACTCCTGCACCTGGACCTGTGTCCAGTTAGGAGCCACCTCTCTGAACCAGAGCTATGATGTGCAATCAAAAAATATGGACAATTTAATTTTAAATTTTATACATTTATTACAGTAAAGAAACATTGCTATTAGTCCCACTCAAAACACCCTTCTACCCTTGGATGTACGTGCTGCATCTTCCTTGCCACTTTCTTTTTTGGTACTGGGAATCGAACTCAGGACTTTGTGCTCGCCAGGCAGGGTCCTGTGCCACTGAGCTTATATCCCCAGCCCATCCTTGCCACTTTATGCAGCAGCTCTGGAGTCCTCTTTCCTGAGAGTCTTTAGCTGCCTCAAGGTCCTGAATCCATCCTAAACATTTCCCTTTCATGGTCATCTTGACTTTGGGGAGAAACCAGAAATAACATGGTGGCAGGTGTGGTGATCAGGTGGATGAGGACACAGTGTCATGTCTTTATTTAACAAAAACTGGAAATGTAAACTATAAACTGCTTCAGCAAGTGGCAAGGATGATGGGATAAACGTATTCAAAGGGAGAGGGAGGGTTTAGAGAGGGACTTGTGGCAAGGAGTCTTTTACTTTATACATTTAAGGAACAATCATTCACAGTGCATTTTGATCACATCTTGTATCTGTCTATCAATCGTTTATTTCATGGTTTCATGGGTAATATACTCTGATGTCTCTGCACTTTTCAGGTCGATGAACCAAGAAGTCTCCTTTTCCTTTCAGCCAGCTTTAGGAAAGTTTTACCTCTTGGAGGTAGCCCACACACACACTTTGCTCAGAGACACCACTGGTGTGGACTGAGAGAGGCCGTCTTCAACCCACCTGCAAATGCGGCATGTACCCATTAGTAGCCAGGAACGGCACATGAGAGTTAAGATGGGTGTGGTGGTGACTTTGTACCCAGTAGGGGAGCTAAGAATTAAGTATTCACCATGGCATTTATTCTTTGTTTTGGAAATAATATGTTTAAACCCAAGGAAACTTAATATCTCCATCCTCCTGTTTTCCATCTATAAATCTGTGATAACAGCATCTGCTAGAGTCGGCAGCCCAACTTCTCAACATGTTACACTGCAGAGCCCAAGGCGGGCATTGATTCAGTTGCTTCACTCCTGCAGCTGGACCTGTGTCCAGTTAGGAACCACCTCTCTGAATTCTCTTGGCGTCTACAGCATCCAGCATCATGCCAGGTGCACAGCAGGTGGAGTTTGTAAGATGAGGACCCCAAGCCAAAAGAAAAAATAAAGGCAAAAGAAAATGTCAAAGTCCTAATCTCCACTATGTGTGCATAGCTTATGGTATGCAGCAACACGGACTTAAGAATGCAGAAGGAATTAAGTTTGCTTTCCAACAGACCTTAAAGTGAGAATATCTGGGAATGTCCGAGTAGGACTAATCCAGTCCTGTGACCTCTTAAAATGGGATACAGGTAGAAGTGGAGATGAGAAGTGATGTACAAAGGACTCCTCCATCATTGCTGGCCTTGAAGGTCCAGGAGGGGAGCTCAGGAATGTGGCTGCTCCTGGGAGCTGAGAACTGCCGTCAGCTGATGACCAGCATTAAAAATAAAATAAACAGCAAACACACGTGAGAAATGGAATTCTGCTAATTCTCTTAAAGACTGGACTCTAGGTATTGTCATTGAGCTTCCAGAACGCAGCCAGTGTGCAGCTGCCTTGATTTCAACCAGGTGAGCTTGGTGTCAGGCTTCTGACCTACAAAACTGTGCAAAAATAGAGGTGTGAGAAACCAAGGTGCTTTAAATCAGTAACACTACAGCAGCAACAGAGAAGTAGCATGAAAGGTTTCAGCCAATTCTTGTCAACTGAGTACAAATGTAAGACAAAATACTTAGGGGAAAAAGGAGGCACAACACGCTTCTTAATTGGAAGAATATTGTGCAGAAGCAAGAAAATAAGCTCAGACTCACCATATCCTAATGACTTTCTCTAGTACAACAAGTATTTTCCAATAAAAGCAGGGAACT